CTGTCTGAGGACACCACTGGGAAACGCATGTTTGGTTTGGGATGTCAGGTCATTAATGGGATAAGATGCGGCTACAGGGCAGCTCTCTGCATATGTCTACAGATTTGAGAATTAACTATTTTCTACATTCAAAAGACAATGTATTTCTCTTGATAGAGAGCTGACCTTACTTCACAGGTAACCTCTTGGGCTGATAACATAAGAAAGCAAACATAAAGGGTTATTTTAACAAACAAAACAAAGTATGCTGGCATACGTTGTTATTGGGTTTGCTTTGTTGACACCGTTTGGGTTATTTGCTGCAGAGATGAGCTGTCGAGAGTTTTTGCTGAATTACTCACTGTGCCCACACACCCTAGAGCAGCTGAAGCTGACACAAAGCCAGTTCCTCTCCCTTGCCGTTCTGCCTGACTCAGACTAATGCAGAGCCACAGTGGTGGTTTTGACATGTACTGCTAGCCAGGTATGACATCCTTAAGAGACATTATGCCAGCATTTCCCCCTGCGCTTATGCAAGACAGTGGCAAAACTAGCTGATGACCCATTTATGGCTTTACATTAGCAGGAAAATCCCATATGCACAAAAGAAAATCCTGTAAAGATTTTATAGCCAGCTTAAGGGAATTTTGTTCTTTGTACTGTAAAGTACCACTAGTCTATGCATAAAACATTTCCACTTAGGGATACAGCCATCTCCTTTTGTGTGGAAAGGCAGGTAGAGAAATTCAGGCTGTATCTCTCTCCACTGCATAATCCTCAAACAGTGGAAGACAGAAGGTGATTTCAATGGTTTCAAAGAACATCTTTGGTGGCATGTAAGCAAACCAAACTTGGATCATGATAGAAACTGTAGCCTTAACTGCACTGCCAAACTCTCTGATCGGTGTTCCATGTCTCTATATTCAGAAAAGAATTTCCTAAATGAAACGGCACCTCTCTCACACCTTTCATCTTTTTTCATACACAGCCCCATCCAAGCTGGAATGCAGCAGCTACTTGTCAGTACACAGCAAAACACAGGCATTCAAGGTAGCATCTTCCCTCTGCTTCCCCTTCCACTTAGATTGTATTTTTGCTTTCAAGCTATTGACACTGTTTTTCCAGAAGATCTGCAAGGTCCCCAACAGCACACACCAGACAGCATGCAGCAAACAAGGCAGCTGCTCCATACTCATGACTGTCTTCTTTGTGTAATGAGCTGCCTGCTTATGTTCATCCAACCTGCACCCGGAATGAGGCAAGAACTGGCCAGATCACATCCCATTTCAGCCCATTGCAACTGCATACTGAATGCAGCACAGTTTGTGCAGAAAAAATAAAACAGAACACAGTCATATCTGCAACCCATATCATGAAGTGTCCCCTAAAAAAATGCACATTAAAAATATTAGAAGATACCTATAATTGCTCTGAAGATCACAAATGTAAATAAATGAAGCTAAAGGCAAAGCTCTTTCGAAGCCCCAAAAAATTGATTTTCAATTCTGTTTACTTGATTTGATAATGTTTGAAGAAATCATTACAGCTGACTCTTCATGCCTTGAGGATGATGGCCTTCATCACCAAAGAAGGGTGAACATGGAACAAATGAAAGGTGTACACAAGCTAGGACGCAGCTAACAGCAAAGCACTTAGTAGGCTGATTAAAAGTCATCTGCAAAATGGTTCAAATGTGTAAAGACTGTTTGTGTGTTACAGTCCCAAGGCAGAAAAAGGAAAACATTTATTGAAGTATCATCTTCAACTTGAAACTATACCACAGTCTGAGATACACTAACTGAGAGAGAAATTAAGATTACTAAACAGTGGGAGTACAGTGAAAAACACTTCCCTTTCCTCACGTCTATTTCTTTGCATATTTGCCAGCACACTCAATAGGTTCCCTGTCACCCTTCTATGCTTCCTTCACTGGGTAACAGTGGAGACAAAAGAAAAATCCTGATTTACAAATGTGGCGGAAAAACAAAATATACTAGCCCAATTTCACTGACTTCAAAATAAATCTGCAAGAGTGAAACTCACTATAGCTGTCCTGTTATGAAAGACATTACAAATACTTACTCTACCTCCTTCTCACACTCTTTAGAAATCTTGCTTCTTGAAAGAAATAAAATGTCAATTCTGGGTGTGGGTTCTACATGGGAGGATATAGCTCTTGCTTTTGGTTTACATATGAGGGAGCACAATCATAAAAGTACTCACTGTAGAGATTTTCATTAATTTTCATAAATACTGTCCAAAAATAACAAAAAATGAAAACCAAAATACCCACGTCTGTGGTATCACCTGTATTGTTTGAACTTCTCCTGTCTGCTTGTATCAGCAAAAAAGAAACACATGAAATCAAAATCCATGTAAGCAAAAATCAAATATAATGTTCTAAAAGTGTGACCAGCATTTACAGTCAGGAGTTTAGATTCAGCTGCCTCTTACAAATAAACCTGTTTAAATTAAGCAAAAGCACTACCTACATGTTTCTTTTTTTTAGTCTCTTTTAACTGAGAATTATTCTTTGAGCTTTTTGAAAAGAGGTGTTGAGACCTGACAATATTTCGTTTCAAGAGTCAAGCACAGCATCACTCAACTGTATAACAAAGCATCATTTGTCCTGTGTTATAAAGATTTTCTTTATTTACACATGTACCAATATATATTTTTGTTTCATCCTTTAGTTATAGACTTGTGACGTTCCACCTCTGTAGATGAGTCACTGATGCCATTCATGGAACAGTCTTTTACTGCTAGTTTCCTGCAGGGTAAATGAAATCATGGTGATGAAAGGGCAAAAGTGTGTGTGTCTTCGTGAAGAGGGGGACATCTAAGGATTTTGCAGATCTTTTTCTAAAATGTATTCCAAATACTTTAAAAAATTGTTTTCAGAAACAAAGCTGCAGAAAAATATTAGAGAGTACTTCATGACAAGAATAACAACCTTCAGAAAAGCCACTGGTGTTAGCTGAGCAGCATGTTGCTAGCACAGACATAGAGGATAAATCCTGCACTTCAAAACCTCAGTTCCTCCTTAGAAAATGAAACATGTTTAATTAACTGTTGCTTAATCTATGCCAGATATATAACCAGTTCACAGAAAGAAACAATGAATATTGGCACAGGTTATAGTGCTTCTCCAGAGGTCCATTTGTTTCAGCAATGCATCTCGACATCTTTATAATAAGATTTTTTTCAAGCATTTAATTGCTTTGTATCACTAGTACAAATACTTTTTATCACTAAGATTCTGTATCGCTAATTTGTCTAAGAATAAATTGTAGGCACCTGGGCACCTTTGGAATTTGCCTCTTTTTTTTTCCCAGAAAAATATCTGCAAGTTACAAAACTCTGAGATCTCCACAGACAACCTCTGACAGAACGAGCACTAAATAAGACCAACAAGGAATCCAACCGCTGCTGCATTACCACAACTAGCTGTGTCAAAACAAGCATTCTGCAATTTCTGTATTCACAAAATGAGTTTACAAGGCAACCTTGACTGAGCTAGGAGAGGAGGAGGCTGACTATACTGAGAATACAGTATCAGAGCATTGGATTTCAGTTTCCCATTGGTTACACCATAATTTCCACAAGTAGCTTATTATGTAATCCTACACCCTGCCCCCCACCAACCCAGCATTTCCATTTGGTTCCAGATCATGTATTTTACCATGTTTCATTATCCAGTGTGAGCTCTGTCTGTACAACACCGATTATTTTCTGCCAAAAAGGCAAACGGCCGATATGACTGTACTATTCTGCCTGTCTCACAATGTTCGAATTTACTAAGCCTGACAGATGGTTAGACTTTATTACTGGCAAAATATTTCAATAGTGTGATAGCCACAACTGATCCAGTTTCCTTAGGCTGTTCATTTTAGAGCTTATCACAGAGGGGCTGAAGCTCAAGGGTTGCGGACACATCCGATCAGCTCAGCATGTCCTGAGATCGGAGAACAATGCTACACTTTTATTCTGGTTTTGGTTTAGGTCATGTTTACTTCTAAGGTGCATTGCCGTCCAAATGCCCAGGATCTTCATCAAAAATTCATGTCCTATGGGAGGTTCACAGCCTTGCCCTAAGCCGTTTGCCCAAATAACACTGCTAGTGTATGAATCACTCAAACATATCTAGTGGCAGAGGTTTGAATGTAAATGTGCATTAGAAAGCATGACATCTCGAGCCATCACATACGTTTTACTCCCAAACTTGGCTTTGCTGTTTCATATTCAAAATCAACATCAATCCATGTACACTGCAGGATAAGTTTTCGTTCCCTGACTGTGGATACTTGTTGTGTCCATGAAGGAAACTTCCTCTCTGTGGGTTTTATTTGAAACACTCGCTCATTCTAAAAAACAACTTCCTAATGAGCAGCTTGGTGAGATTTGCAGCCAAATTATATATTTGACTCATTTTTTGGGCAATGCTGAATAAAATCATTTGTGTATACACCTATCCTGAATAATTTGACGCAAGTCAGTGTGCAGATCCTCTTTTTACATAGTTAATGTGCACAAGTTACTGTTCACCCAATTCTTCTCCCCAGTCTAAATGAAATCCAGATAAACTCTCTCTAGTACTCAACATACTCTTTATGGAATTCCATGTACAACTGGCAAAAAAATGGAACTTCAAGGAAATGTTGATTTTCATCAGTAGAAATAGTGAAACTGTAGTAACGACAAAGGCCAGGTTTTTACAACTGTGCCACCTCACCCCACTTCCAAGAGCTGTGCCTAAGCAACACCTTGTACCAGTGGAGAACTACATGCTTCATTTTTTACCACTGCAGATGGGACTTTAAAATAATACCAGAAAAGAACAGAAAGCACAAATTTTCAAATCCTTGCATTCAACATTCTGGGTTTTTTTTGGTTGAAAGTACAAGTTTTGCTTTCTCTAGTTCCGAACTGACAGAGCTGAAAGTAACTCAACAATGCAATGGGCAGCATACAGACTAAATGACATAATTTTAGACTCTTACCCAAATACCATATTAGCTTACCTGGGGATTTTTAAATAAAGCATATTTTTCACTTTTTTCCAAAAACAGAATCTTATTCTCAGTGTCTCGAGTCCAGTCTGATAACACTTCAACAACATTTTCATGGTCTTCAAAAAACCTTTCTGGAGAGACAGAAAAGGTAATGTAAGACACTCAAACCCTCTCTCCCCTCTCCTGAGGCTGCAGAAATTCCTCTGTAAGAATGTAATCATTATCTCATGTTTGCTCAGAGCTGGACAGCCCAGCACTCTTTTTCACTGCACAGAAGGCAGTAAAACCACATGAAAACAGTATCATGTGGACGGGCAAATCAGCTACAGAAGATACCTTATGTAGCTCTGGCATGTTCCTGGATTCCTCCTGCATCTCTGTGCTGTTGCCCAAAGACTGCAAAGGATGGAAACGGTGACCCACTAGGAGCAGATGGTTACATCTATGCCTCTCAGCGGCTTTCTGCTTTTGTTTGCTTGTGTTTTTTAAGGTTTGCAGTATGACTAGGGGGCTATATGTTCACTTTGGCTAATGAAATTCAAAAAATAATAAAAACTTATTTCCTTGTCTTTTTACTTACTGGAACAAATTAAAAATTGCTTTATGTCAGGAGGAAGAATTCTGTGCACTGAAAACAAAATGTTCTGTTTCAAGCAACTGTTTTTTTAAATAAAAACAGAAATAGCAAAACAGAGGAAATAGGAAGACAGACTGAGAACTGATGTGAAGATTTATTGTTTCACCCAGCATCGCTGGAGTTAAAAAACTGATCAGAGATGTGGGAGACCTACTGTCAGTCCTCTCCCTTCCTGAACTGATCTGAACCCAGATCCTCCACCCAGGAAAGCCACAGGGTATGCTGTGGTTAGGTAACTCTGATCTCTTCTTCTGCTGTTTCACTTGTATAAAGTAGCTAAACAGTCACACAAACTCCCTTTGGAAGGAAAGGGAATTGAGCATAACTGAACAGGTGATTTTGGAAGGACACAAACTGCATTTTCTACAAATTCAGTATTGGGGCAGGGAATTCACTCCGCACCAATTTTCAGTATGAATTTGGCAGTTCCCGAGGAACAGCTCTACTCCCATTTCGGTGGTCTGTGGTGATCACATCTTTCAGTGGCCTAAATTGGCCTAGTATGAGATGAGATAATAAAGCATACATTTTGTAGGCGTTTTTTAACACTTCTTGTTACTTTTGACAAGGGTTCAGGATGTCCCATCAAAACTAAATTTTGTGAATTCATTAAATTCACAGAATGACATTAGGTTCAGGGCCAGTTCACATATACACAGTAACTTATAACACCACAAGCAACACAACACTTTTCATTTAGCAACTGATACTTCTGCAATGCATTGGAAATATAAAACACTGCATAAAACCCAAGTAATGATCTGAAGGGTAAACAGTATCTTACAGTCCAGAATAGCCATAAAATAAGTCTCAGGTCATAACACTAGTTATTTAACACTAATTTTTGCCACATACACTTTTGTTCACGTCCAGTACCAGGCTTTTCTTGGATATAAGGTATGACCTTACTGTCTTCAGGAGGGTCTTTTTTATCTTTATTGTTACAAAAAAAAAAGTAAAATCTGGATGCCTATTATAAGGTGATACTCCTTATTGCAAAACACATGCTGGTATGTACAGTCCAGTGTTATATCACCATCTCACTACCAAGATTATTTGTAATATTTAATAAGTATTTAATCTAAAACTGTAGTTTCTTTTATTTGCAATAAATTTTTCAGAATGACAATATATATAAGATATTCTGTCAAGGATCTTCTGACATAAAACTAGCTTGGACTTTCAGTTCAGCCTGAAATATTTGCTGCTCAGATTTGCTTCTTAAAGTAAACATAATTTTATTCTCTTCAATACTAACATAGAAAGCAAGAAGAAAAGGAAAGGGCAGGAAAGCCTGTATTCTAAGCATGCTGATGGTAACAGAACTATCTAGAACTGCCAAGAAGTATATTGACAAAAATAAAGAATAGTTCACATTGTTTTGATTTTGAACAAAATGTTACTGTGCACTGGAAGCAGAAGAAAGAATATATACCATTTCATCTGTATTAAAATTCCCTTCTACAAACAAAAAGGTTCCATTCCCAGCTGATTTGCACCTGGTGACAGACCTCTGCATGAGGAGTTCACAGACTTTTCCTTTTTTCCTGAACCAGCTACTGATTTATTTCCTTCCCTACTCTTATTCTGTCCTGGCTTTTAAAATAGTTTTAATTCATTATGAGAGTAAATGCTTACTATATCAATACTCTAACCCTAACCCAAAGCACCTAGCATTGGCTGGGATTAAAGTAACACAAGTAATTTTTACTTTAAAAAAAAAAAAGTCTAACCATTAACACCAATGTTTGTAGCATATGATCTCCCTGATGCCTGTAGTTTTAATTGTGGGGAATTAAAAATGTCTATCCTGATTATGAAGAAACACAGGTACACTCTTTTTAATTATTATGGAGATTCAGAAAACAATCTGTTTACATACTGTCATCTTAACACTCAGAAACGTTTGCCCAAGTCACACTAGACCCGAGGGAGCAAATTTCAAAGACAACAAAACACTCTAAAATTATTCTGACATTTGTGATATTTCTATGGTCTAATGATATTTCCAGTCTTTCTCTAGTTAAGATAAGCAGGTACAAAAGAATGCACCTATGTTGCTTCATGTATCATTTTAAAGGAGTAGAAAGAACGGATTGGCAGTTCATATCTCTGCCATTCTTACAAGCAGACGAGTATCTCCTTGCTCATGAGCAGTCAGGCTTTTCCCAGCTACTTTTGCATTTCTTTGTTTTAGTTTAGCAGGATGATTTCCTGAGGCTTTTTTAAAGTGCAATATTGATATTTAACTTTATTTGTGTATTTTTACATCTCTGCTGGGAGTCTGTAAACTAAGAATGCTAAAGCATGTTTGACAACTTCCCATTTTTCTGGGTCAAAAGCAACCCTGGAAGAAAGTTATGGCAATTTTCCTTTTGATGTGAATACGTCTGCAGCCTGGACAATAAAAAGATTCTGAAATAACTCACAATTAGAAAATATTCCATTTGAAGCCTTTTTGAAACAAAACTCATTAAGCTGCACCAAACAATACATAAGTTTTGCACAGCTGTTTCCCAGATACCTGGAGGCCAGGTTAGTTACTTCCTAAATCATAAGGTACCACCAGTAGAGCTACAGCCTCATCAAAGAGCGATAGCCTGTTCACAACTACATTTAAGAAAACGGCTATCACACGTGAAAAGCATTAGAAATGACAGAAACACTTCTCAGACAGTCTTGTTTAATTACAGCATTTGTTTGGCCAGTATCTAACAGCCTGCTGACAGCACTTCAGCACTTCATCCTCTCTTCAGAGAGTGGAGTCGAGCATTGGTGTGTTTGGGTCTGTCACTGCCTTGATAAACATAGTGAAATCCACATGGTCCTTCCATTTTGTGTAAAACAGAATAACGGAAATGGTGGTGGGCAAGGAGCCTTCTGCAGTGACAGCACAGATAAATGGAACACTTGTTTCTACAGCAAGAACAGCCCAAGTACATTCCCGCAGCATCCCTCAGCTTAGAGACTGTGATGTTCCAACACCAGTGGACACACAGGCAGAAGAAATGTTGTTAATTATCTTTTCAAGATTACCAATAGCATAGGATGCACTATATCCATTTGTTACATGCTCTGTCACTATGCCACTTACCAATTTGCAGCTCTGGGTACATTTCATACAGACACCAGTCGACGTTGCAGTCACAATGGGTTTTCTCAAAGAGATTGTCTAAAACATCACGTGTCACCTGACGCTCATCCACCATTAGTGACTTTGTGCTGTTATCATACATGTGCACCTTGACAACAAGCTGAGTACAGAATCACAGAAGTCAGTTAATTCCAGAAGCAAGTAAAAGACTAGTCTGAACCTGCTAATGCAGATAAGAAAGATTAAGGCTGAAGGTTATTACTGATTCAAAGGCACCCTGTTCCGCAGTGAGCTGAGGGAATAAACAGCTTGGAAGCTTTCACATTATATGGCCACCAAAACAAAGACCTTTTCTCAAACAAGCAAATTGAACCTTGTCCTGTGCGTGACTTCAGGAAAAGTGAAATTGCTATGGAGAAAAAGCAGAATTTAATCTCTGCTCTAAATCTGCTAGATGTGCAATTAAGGAAAATGTTTGATAGGGAAACCAAGTACAAAAGGACAGAGTGTCCTTAATGCAAGCTAGAAATGTGAAAAGTTTTGTTTTCGATGACAAAAAGAATGGAAGAATCTTGCCATGCCAACAGACTAACCTGAAATTGGATTGTACTAAGATGGCGGTAGTCCAACACCCATGAATAAGCAAACAGATGAGTTTCTTATACTGACCAAATTAACCTAAGACACACATTATTTCTTCATATTATGAAGTATTTGTTAAACAAGATACAGTGTGCACATTTTTTCAGAGAGGAACAATGCAAGAAAATGCTGAAGTACATAAAATATGATAAAGAACTGCAAATACATTGTAAGGAAAGTACTTTAAATGATCCATTAGTACTGAAAACAGAAGAAAATTTGACTACAGGATCTGTACATGGAAACTGTAACAGAACTGGCGAGTTGGGAGGGCTTCTCCGTACAATCTTGTTTAAATAGCTCCTTATTTTAAAATGTGTGCATAAGCAGCTTTGGTAGGTAGAAGCAGAGTGTGATGATCCCCAAGAGAAAATCTACACTATCTCTGAAAAGTAAAAGCAAATGTAACAAGAAATGTGAACTTGCTTTGATTGCAACTCTTGCAAGTATCTTCCTCTCTGAAACAAGCAACTGAGCCATAGTGCTGATCATAGAGAAAAAGAAATGTTGTATATGTATAATCTACAAGATGACTGTGGAAAAATGGGTATTTTTGTCTGATTACAACTGACTGCTCAAAAACATGCATGCAACTTCCATCACAGAAGGGCTGAGATTGGCAGGGCCCTCTGGAAGTCATCCAGTCCAATCTCCTGCTCAAGCAGGCCACCTAGAGCCCAGAGCCCATTGCCCAGGACCATGTCCAGATGGCTTTTAGGTTATCTCCAAGCATGGAGACTCCACAGCCTCCCTGGGCAACCTGTGCCAGTGCTCAGGCACCCTCACAATAAAAAAGTGTTTCCCAATGTTCAGAGGGAGCCTCCCATGTTTCTGTCTGTGCCCATTGCCTCTGGGCCTGTCCCTGGGCACCACTGAAAAGAGTCTGGCTCCATCCTCTTTGCACCCTCCCTTCAGGCATTTCTATAGATTGACAAGATCCCTCTGGAGCCTTCTCTTCTCTAGGCTATGCAGTCCCAGTTGCCTCAGCCTTTCCTCACATGGGAGATGCTTCAGTTCCTTAATAATCTTTGTGGTACTTCATTCACTGGGATGGAACTCTCTTGAGCTTAGAGGAGCTGATCCTTGAATATTAACCAGCTTTCTTAGGTCCCTCTTCCTTCCAGGGCCCTATTCCACGGGACTCTTCCAAGTAGATCTTTGAAGCAGCCAAAGTCGGCTCTCCTGAAGTCCAGGGCTATGAGCTTGCTTTTCACCATCCTCCCTGGCTTCTGCCCTCCACTTTCAGTAAAAGAGAGCAGACCAGTTTTCTTGACAATTATTTAGTCAATTTAGAATTCAAGAATGACATAGTAATTTCATTATAGTTACAGAGCCACAAGAAGATTAACCCTTCCTTCTACCCTATGGTTCCAAATATTCATGGTGGAAAAAAAACTGAAACAAAAAAAAGTCTTCAAAATAAAGTTTTGTTTCCTCCCAAAGGAGAGTTGCTAACATTGCAAGAAAAAGAAGGTGACCAATGAGCAGCCATAAGTTTAGTTATAGAGCTTTCCAAAGACAACATTGGCGAAATCCTCCCAACTCATTCTCTTCAGAAGTGGCACTTGCACATGAACGTAAACTGTTCTGTGGGAACCATCTCAAGTCTGGACACCCCCAAATTTATTGGAAGCTTCTATTCTTCTTGGAAGCCCCGTGGGCTCTGATCTCCAGCACTTCTCATCTCCTATTTGAGCAACACTGAAAAGTCATGATTGTTTTTTCTTCACACCCGTTTTTCAGAGGAACATCAGAGTTGAACATCTGCAGCTTCTGTTGAATTCAGCTAGAACACTAGCTTAGGATGAGTGGGCATAATTACCTGTCACACTGCAGCACTGTGCAGACTCTGGCTGGAAGCTTTTTAATTTGTTGGTCTAAAAAAATTTCTATTATCCTTGTACATTACTATATTGCTGTGAAAAGATTTAGCAAGAAGACCCTCATTAATTTAATTGGGATTAGCTACATCCACTTCCACTGTAGAAGAAAAGTTTAATACTTCTGGAATCGGCACAGCAAAAGTAAGCAACATTTTTATGTACATTCCACTTTCTCTAAAGCAACCTAGCAGAACAGTAGGCTTTGCCCCAGCACTGGAAAAAAAAGAGGCAGAGCATTCCAAGTCCTCTTAAAAGTAAGTCCCTCAGATGTAGCATTCTCCCAGAGACTTCTCTTCAAGTGGATGAGAAGACAGCTCCACAGAGTATCTTCAGGTGTCTCAAGTTACAGACAAAATATGAAGAAGCCTAGCAACTTCAGTAAGAACTTTATTATTGAGAAGAATGATAATAGATACTTATCTGGTAGCTCTTATGGTAGCATTGCACTATTTAAAGGCTCACCTTTTTAACTTTGGCTTCCTTCAGTTTCTCCAGTGCAAGTTTAATCTTGTCAGCTTTAGCCTGTGCCTCTCGTTCTTCCTGAAAAGACACAACACATTAGGTATGCTTCTTGTTAAGTAAGGCTAAGAAGGTTATCTTATTCATCCCAAACTTTGAGGCAGGTTAAATCATAATGGAACTACTCCTGACTGACATCCCTTTCACTGAACTAAACATCTTATGGTTTATCACTGCTTCCCCAGGATACCAGCATCCTTTAGGATGTCAAAAACACAAGGTGAGGTGTACAACCTGAAAAAGATGGCTTCAAGCATGTTTGCTGTTGTCAAATTCTCCACTACAAATATTAGGCAATCAGTTAAAAAAATCTCTTTTTTCTCCACAAGTGTGGAAATTTGCATTGCTGCAGCTCAGAGATGCTTAACTTTGAGAATCCAAAAACAGCTTCTGTAGTTGAACAGTAGCTGTTGGACAAAAGTGGATTTCGCAGTAAGGCTGACTTTTCTACAGAGGGAAGAGCCCACAGCCTCTCACACTATGGCCCTCCCCTTACCATCTCAAAACATCTCTCTGCAGGAAGCAGGAAAAGCATCTTAACCAAAGTGGCTGAGCATGGTGCAGGCAGGCTTTCTGCTGAAAATTTTAGGCAGGTATAACTCGGGCTTCACCTGCGTCCAACCTGTGTAGAATAGAATTCACACATTGTACAAATCTGTGCAACAGAGCTCTCACCTGAGAGCCTTCAGGTTTTCATAACCTTTGTCTGTCTTAATGTTGAAAATGAAAATGATGCAAAGTAAACAAACTGTCAGATGCAAAATTTTAGCACTGTTAAAGAAATGCTTTGGCAGGGTAGAAGATTTGTTTTCCCACTGCAGTATCATAACCACATTTTCTGGACCTTCAGACAGAAGCACAATAAAGTTATCCAGATAATGTCACAGAAAATACCGAAGCCTTATTTAGCTTAAGGACAGTTTTAAAAAGAAACATCAGAGTAGATGGAAACTTATGAGACAGCTCTATGTTTCCCTGAAAAAAAGGCTGTACTTGTCAATTTTGGCACAGTTAAAGGTTAGAGAATAGAGTCTTCATACCACAGGTGCACTGGGAATAACGAACACTATTCTTATTCCACCATAGACAACCAGAAGTGTTAAACAAAACGTCAGCCTTGACTGGCTCAAGAATCACTTATCAAGAGTCCTGGCTAACAGGAACACGGATTTTGATGAACCAAAATATATTCCATTTACAGCTGCATTTCATTCTACCGAACAGAAATATCATATCAAAGCAAATACTGAGACAGTAAATACTAATTTGAAATCAGTTCTTTCTATATTAATTTTAAACAATTATTACCTCTATCATTTGCACTACAACTTGTGTAATAGCGCTATAGGCAATTTTGTGGACAGTAAGTCACACAATAGGTATGCCATCAGTATTTGAATACAACCTATATCAGAAAATGAGGCAAGGGCTACAGGAGAAAGCAGAACCAGTGCCTTAATGAGGAAATCAACTACAGCAGATAGGTTCCTTAGAAATGCCTCTACCTTCCATTCCCATCCTTCTCTGCCCTGTCCTTATATCTGGAAAGAGACCGGAAAACACTGCTAGAGATTTAACTCGGCACACAATCTCAGAAGAACACTTTGAGGAAGACAGAAGTGACTTCCAGCTACATTTTTGCATACAAAATTCCAGTTTTGTTTAGCAAGTATATCCTCTTCTCACTGTAAAGTCTTGTTTGACCCTCGGGTAATGCAGGAGGCCAGCTAATAGAGAATTAGCTCAGTACAAGACTCAAGGGAAAGAACTGTGCAGCACTGTTGATTTCAGCAAGCTGTAGATCACAGCATCATATAAACATTGGTTGGAAGAGAGGTCTGGAGGGCTGTAGTCTGGCTCCCTGTCCAAAGCAGGACTGTCACCAACACTAGATCAGGTCAGCCATGATTTTGCCTGGCAAAGTTTGGAAAACCTCCAAAGAAAGAGAATCTGTGATGTCTCTGGGTCACCTGTTCCAGTACTACACCACCACTTGAAATGGAAAAGGTTTTCTTAATGTCCCATCTGGAACTACAAAGCTACAACACGTAGCTGTTCACCCTTGTTATGTGACCTAACACTACCACGGAAGAATTTGGCTCCTCCAGCTTTGTAGCTACCCTTTAGGTGCTCTTAGGCTGTCATTAGATCACACTCCAGCGTCCTCTGTCAGACTAAAGAGTCTCCAGCTCCCTCAGCCTGTCCTCGCTGGCCCCTGATCACTCCATGCCCCTGGCATCCCAGTAGCTTTCTGCTGGATGCTTTCCAGTATCTCCACATCCGTAACGGGATGCAGTATTCCAGCTGCAGCCTCACCAGTGCCAAGAGAAAGGAATAATGGCTCCCTCAAGTCTGCTGGCCATGCTCCTCCCAACATAGGCCAGTCTCCCATACTGAGATAACCTTGCACTCATGGTTCTTATTCAGTGTGGCATCCACCAGGATGCCATCTCCTTTTCAGCAAGGCTGCTGCTCAGCCTGTCACCTCCCAAACTGTACAAATGCATGGGGTTATTCCACACAAGGTGCAGGCCCTTGTACTTTGCTGAGTTTCTGAGGGTTTTGCTGGCCCATTCCTCACGTTTCTCAAGGTCCCCCTGCACTGAAGTTCTGTCATTCATCTTGTCAGTCAGTGCCCTTAATTAAAAGCATCTTCAGCATATCTGCAGATGATTTGTCATCACTCAGGCCACAGATGAAAACATTAAAGAATACAAGCCCCAGTGTTGATCCCACTTGTTACCAGCCAGCAAACCATTGATTACTACCCCTTGAGTCTGGCAGTTTGGCCAATCTCCACCCACCTAACCAGCTACCCTTCCAGACCATACTTCCTCAGCTTCCAAACCAGACTGTTTAGAAGCCTGGTACTTTCTTAAAGGTCATGAGTGTAAATCAAGATGGGGACACATTTGTAGGACAATGGATAGAACTTACCTTGATAACATCTCTTCTATATCAATTATACTAGTTAAACAAAAGACTTCAGCTTCTGAAGCTGTCTAGCTACTGTTTTTGCAAATGTTGATATTCCTTTAAGATAGGAAGTTAACTATTATCTTTGAGATACAAAAAAATGGCGAAGTTCCTCCCACTTGTTTATGACTTTCACTCTTCAAACAGCACTGCAAGGTCCTATGCACCAAATGAAGCTTTATCCGGTGAATCACTTTTTGCATAATCAAAAAGGTCCTCTTCCTACCAAATTTTCTGTTCCTTTTACTAAATACGGCTGCTGTATGATGCTAAACACAGGGGCAGCAGTGATGTTGAGGTGATTCATATTCAGTTTGTGTGGACTTTTAAACTGCAATGAATTGCCTGTGGTTTTAAGCAAAACTGAGTGGTACAGTTCCACATGGGCTGACAGAGCACTTTTCACATTCCCTAAAAACTTTCCATTCCATAAATGCAAACATCTCTCCATCACAGTTATTATGCATATGAATACTGAAAGAGATATTTTCAGATTTCACATTCATGGTTTCTGGGCTGCGTCACTCTTCTAATGCACGTACTCTCCCCACAGGGCTGTGACAGGGCAGAATTATTACATTATCTCCCTCTCCACAACCTCATGACAAAGAAACTAACTCCTAATACTTCTAGAAATACCACATTTGATTTTAGTTGTTAAAACAGTTCTTCAAGAAACACAAACACAAAGGAGGTTATGGTTAAGTCTGACATTTTAGTGTACAGGCAAGCCAATTGTTATAAATAGTACCTACTGATAACTTTTGCACTTCCTAACTAAAGAGCATTTGTCCCATACTGCAGATGGTCTTCATTACTTCCCTTCAAAGACAAGATCAAGAAGAGCAGAGTGATTTATGCTTGTCCTGGGCTAGCAAAATGATGATTAGAAAGCCAAAGGAATGGGCAATAGGTCAAGGAACAGTCAGAAATTGCTGAGCCCACAATAACAGAAAATCCTCACTCCACTTCATGCATGTTTCATCATTGCAGAATCTTCCCAAGGTGTTTCTGCCTGGGATATCCACTGTTGTTCCAATGTCAAACACCACTTGCAAAATTACAGGAACTATTGAATTCTTAGAAAAAGGTTCCACCCAGGCTTACCTGGGTGAGTGGCTCAGGAGGAGGTGGTGGTGGTGGAAGGTCTAAATCAGGGTCTGGAGGTGGAGGGGGCAGGTCATCCCCAAACTGTCCAGTAATCATAACATAGGGACTCGATTTAGAATAAATGTTACTATCCAAGCCTGTGGAAGGCTGAGTGACAGTACTTTGCTCGTTGCCAGAAGTTGTTTTCTGGGCTTGTAAAGTTCTCTGTTCAACATCATTTATGTCTGCTACAAGATCAGCCATTAAAGCATCCAGGTCTTTGTCCTCTAGGGCACTTAGGGATTCTGTAAAGAGAACCACAAAAGTGTCAGAGTGACTGCAATGCAAAACACTACATTTCCAGTTCAGTGGAGATTAAATTGCAGAAGGCATGGTTACTGTAAGATACAAGGGTTATGGGAAGGGAAACAACATTTTAAATGGGTTCAAGAAAACCAACATTTTAGGAATAGCCATTGACCTGGTCATACTGAAGTTCAGAGTACAAGGAACTCTAGGAATACAAATTAAACATGACAGGAAGCTTTGCTTTCAGTGATAGTCTCAGGCCCTTATGATGTTACAAAACCTGGCCCTGATCCAGCAAGGTTTCCAGGCACATGCTTAGTGATATGGATGCAAGAAATTCCATTTGCTCCCATTAGGCTATTTACTTACGTACATACACAAATGCTTAGCCAGTTTTGGTATAACATACAACAAACCATGTAACTGAGGCCTAGATCAAGAGTATCTTCATATATTACTACTATTCTACATCTCTAAAATTAATATGAAGCAGAATCATAGAGTTCTAAGACACATGAAATTGTGTGATATCATTGGTAGCACATTAGTAATTGTGTGATCAATGTCTGTGACATACCTCATGTAATACGCAGGGTTTTGAGGATCCTTTAAGCAAAAGAACAAACAAGACAGTCTGTTTTTCAAAAAGCATCTTATCAACCAGATAGAAATATTGTAACTTTTGCTTTCTGTCTTCTACTCTGTCAGAGAATAAGATAAAATCCTATACTGCTGCTTCACAAGTAATTTCTTCTTTGGTTGTTTGAACTATCCATAGTGTAAGAGATCCTGTGGAATAATATCCTGTAGGGTGATTTAGCTTTCTAGAAGAGAAGGGTTCTTTAAGAACCAACAGATCCAGTGGTTTAAATCTCTTTGAAGAATCTAGACTTAAAAAAAAAAAATATCACAAATTGGGAAAGCTTTAAGTAGGATTTTTGGAAAGGGATGGAGAGTGCTGAACTAGATACACAAAAATGCTAATAGAGTCCGACAAAGAATAGATCATTCATCAGACTAAGTGTGAACATGTCACTAGACCGTCTCAGTTTGCTTTATCTGTTACGCTAATAGAGTGTTTTCATAAGCTTTTCTTTTCAGTGGGAAAGTTGGCTTATGATCCCCTCTATTTACTTTGCTGGTAGGGGCATTAGACAGCTTAATAGTGAACTGATTCTGGGACAAAAACACAGGTTAAAATCAACTCATGCAAATGCAAACAACCAGCCCCCAGTAAAAAGAAAAAAAACACAAACAAAACCAAAGAGAAGGTTCTTTTTTTACACTCAGATAAACTAGCTCATTCAGTTTGTCATGCACCCTCAACAAGCAGCTGTACGTGCAAAAGTGACGGTGCAAATCAGAATAAGAATAAGCAATGTAAAGTGGAAGCAGCTGAAGCCAGTACTTCCACTGGACAAAAATGCTTATGCAGTTCTGACCTCAGACTGAGGAACTCCATTTTCTATTAAGTCAAATCTTTACATTAAAAGGTTTCATTTTAGAAAGTAATTTGGGGGACTTCTCACTTTCGTTTCTTCCTCTACATTCAGATATTTTAAAAAGTCTGACTCCTATACAAGACTGAATAATGTCCCTTTAAAAAAAATTCGTCTCCTTTTAAGTTTCCTAAATGGAGACACAAATATACATCAGCCTCCAGCTAAACAGTTTTTGTTTTGTTTTGGTCTGTTTTTTTTATCAAGGGCGTTTGAAGTTTTTCTTCTCATTTATTGCTGTGAGGTATATTAAATAAGCAGAAAAAGCATGAAAGAGTCCATTCAGCTACTTACCATTTAAATCTTTAAAACCAACTGCAAAGCTACATTCATTGTTGGACACTTTGGGGGATGGAGGTTGTACAGTCTCCACTCCTAAACTCTGTTAAGGTAGAAGAAAAAAAAAAGCAGTTATCTGATGACATAACTACTATTAAAGACATTAACATTTGTAAATCAATTACCTAAATTTGTCTAATGAAATTGATTCTTCTTCAAGGAACAGAATGACACACATTAGTTTCTGGGATTATGCCCAGATTGGTAAACTAAATAGGGCCAGGACAAGGGTTCAAGCACTGTCTCACAATCACACCAAGTGTTTAATGGTTTGCACGCTTCTCAACACAATTTTGACTCATGCCAACTGCAACTCTTCTCAGGCAACACCCAGGCTTGGTGTGGGGAACAGCTGAGGCTAGGGCTGTTTCTAACAGAGACAGTGGATCAAGCCAGACGGTTTTTCAGTTTTTTTGAAGGGGGGCAGGGTGAGTGCTTTATTTGCTAATACAAGTGTAACCTAGCTGTTGTTTTCTCATGTTGTTTGCAGAAAAACACCAAACACAACAAACAAACAAAAAAACACGCTGCTCTTCACAACTGAAACTGCAAATCTACACAGTTAAATAGACAATTCCTAGTTTGTGACTTGATGTTTATGAAGCAGGCAAGGAACCAGTGCTCCACAAGTTAGGAAAAGTGCATACAGTGGAGACAGAAAAAGATACCTTTTCCCTTCCACAGTGAGGAAGGTGATAGCTCTAATAAGCAAACACTGTGGATAAGACTGGAAGGAATTCCAAGGGTGTGTCTAGACCACGCACCTGTCCTAAGGCAGGTCAGTTACACCCGGGTCATACCTGAAAAAAATGTATACCTAACCTGATGTAAAAAGCTTCCCATTAGATAAATTCCAGCATCACCTCTGGCAATCTTCCACTGCTTCACTGCTGAGATCACTACTCCTGCCATCAAACCTTTCCTGTGATGCTCATCCTAAACTTCCATTGCTGCAGCTGAAGACCATTCCCTGTTGACCTACCCTCCATAGACATGAGGAACCAAGTACTTCTTTCTGCTCAGATGCTGCCTTTGATGTATTTTAAGATTGTTATCAGTCTCCTCTTCTCTAGACTAAATTACACTGTGCCATCTTTTCCTATAGGTCATGTTTCTTCTCCTCATCATTCTCATTGCTTTCCTCTGGATTTTCTCCAGTCAACCCTCCTTCTCCTCAAAATGTAGTGCTAACACTGGACATGGCTTCGCTTCTGAGGTCTTACCAATGCTGTGCAGAATGGAAGGATTACTTCATACATCCTACAAGCTATACCCTTGTTCAAATATCCCGGTGAGATGTTTGTCTACTGGTGGTCATACTCAATTTGAACCAGAGGCATTTATATTTTTTTAGAGTTGCCTGAAACTGACAGGGGTTTTCCAAGAAAATTAATGCAAATGTTTTTCTTGGCAGCTTTTTTTACCTATTTCCCACCCAGGACATGTTGGTTTCTTCTGAAGGTATACAGAGCTGGAAACCAAAGCAGTGATAACTTCAAACAGGGTTTCTGTGTTAATACACTCATAAAAATAGACGTGGTATAAATAGGGGAAGAGGGAGAAATGAAGCACATGAGAGAGCTTCACAGTGCCGGAGGGGGGAAAAAAAAAAAAGAGAGAAAAAGGGAGGGCACAAAACGTATTGATGAAACAGACTGTAAGAGCATAAAGGAAATAGTTTCATTACTACTCTAACAAGAAGTTGTAACATCTCATAATTGCCATAAGAGTGCAGAAAAAACCAAAAGTACATGCAAAGGGAAATTAAAGAGAAAACAATCAAAATGTCAAAAAAAAAGTTTAAGTACACAGAAATAGCAGAAAAGCCCAATTCTGCATTTGCATTTATTTTTCAGCTTTGTTATGAAATATGAAGGCATCTCTGTGTGCTTCTACCATTTATACTTACTTTAGGAAGCGACAGATCAGTGAAAAAGGGTGAAAAGCTATCTACAGTCTCATTTTGGAAATGAAGAGTCTAAAGGAATGAACGGATGCCAGTCTGTTAACTGAAAGTCTTCAGGCTTTCAGTCATGCCTGTCTCCTTCTTCCATACAATGTTGAGGTAAGAGGTGATGCCAGCACTATAGAGGGAGGAGGAGTCAGTCTCCATCTTAGGAATATGTCCCGTCCCACCCAGTACTGCACTGATGAGCAGAGAGAGAAGAGGCTCACTCTTATGACAGGCTCACTCTCTCTATGGTTCAATCATTCTTACTCTCTTTCCATCACTTGCACTCATAACAGTGCTGTGTCCAATCTGAGGAGGTAAAATTTATCACAAGCAGTCTTTCGTTAACTTTCAAGGCATAATAATGAAGTGAAATTACCCTAAACCCCTCCCTCTTTATATACATACGTATAAAAAAATAAATAAGCATGGTTATAAAAAGCCCTTAAACAGCAGAAAGGCTACCAAGGGACAAAATATAGTGATTTGACAGTTAAGAATGTCATGTGAAATCTTGGCTTTTACACAGTTTAAGCACAATTCTAATTCTTTGGCTCAGAATTACTGGTGTTTAATTTGGCAAGCACTGGGATTCACCAAGAGGAAAGACCCCTCAAAACAGAGGCTGTAAGCAATTAAACACACACAGAATCCAGGATGACAGCATAGATGTTTTCAAGCATGCCATTTATTAATACACAAAAAATTTATTGATTTTGTGGATGTTCTTTTAGAAATAAAAATTCTCCTTTCATCAGGTTCTGCAGGAAGTAATCCATGACTATAGGTTTAGAAATAAGATCATGCTGTTTTACAGTTTCCTCTCAAGAGTATATTCTGCACCGGCAATAATGTCTCTATAGATTCTTGAATGCCACTCTAGCTGTAACTTAGTATTTTGTCATATCTAAAGGTTACTCTTCTGCATATATTCAAAATGTTGCTTTCATTTCCAAAGTTTACATTTGACACTCAGGCTACATCCGATTTACCCATGTATGCAAAGCATTCACACCTGAAAATTCTGACTGAAACTCTTCTTGTTTTCACAGAATCTTTCAATTTCTTGGGACTGAGTCCAGAGGTATTTAAACTGCTTATTTGGAGTTTTTTTTTGAGAAAGTATCTTTCATAAGCAGTTAGCTCTCTTTAACAATCTAGCCTGCACTGATACAACCTTATTCTTCAGGCCGCTTGTTTTCAATGTCAAGCAGAGAAATTTAGTTGAAGGTTTTTAAAAAGAATGTATCTATATTTATTCAGAGTGGAAGTACATGAAAAATGTAGAAAAGTTGCCTCTTTTCTCTAACACGTAAGAGCTATTTTCCAAATCTTGATGGAAAAAAAAGAACTATTTACCTGGGTCAGCATGTCCATCTCCCCAAGTAAATTGCTGAACATTTCATCTATATCATCACATGTTTGCTCCATCTGAAAAAAAAAAATCCATAGACAAGGAATCATCACAAGTTCATTTCAAAGCCAGAAATGGTCAAAACCAGAGGATATGCAACGTTCTTTCACACAGTGTTCCCAATAAACTTTAAAACAACTGTTCACGACTTGCAAAAAACTCCATCCACAGTTTAGAAATAACCACTAACAGATCAGAATCTCAATCCTGTATATGCTTAAACACATACTTGGGCTTTATGCTCATTAGGAGTTCCAACAACCTCCTTGTGTTATTTACAATTCATCGGAAGTCACTAGCTAATAAACCATGGCTGTATCTTAAATATCAAAGAAATGTAGCTAGGGAGAGATAGAGCGGGAAAGAAAGTTTGAGGTTGAGAAATTCCTGAATGCTTGGAAAGTATCTTGAAAAGAATCTTGAAAGCTTTCTTTCTTTGGCTTAGATGACTAAAATAACAAGAGTTTATTAAGTGTAATCTAGTGCAGGACCTGGTTATGGTTAGGTGCATGACCAACTTTTTGTCTCAATATTTCTCCCTATTTTCTTTCAAATACTAGTGCACTAAGAGAACTCCAGTCTTACCTAACCTCAAGACATACGTGGGAGTGCACTGAGACAAGGAAAATGGGCACATGCTGCACGACAGTAAATGGTGGCTCTTGTTGCAAGAGGGGAATGTGAGGACAGCATCCACCACACACTGATGGTGCTGAGATATGGGGGAGATACAGCTTCTGTAACAATCTTCTTTCTCATAAATTTGTTCCTTTGCAGGGAGAGAAGTAGTGTATAAGGGTGTCTGACATGGAACATGGCCAGAAACAAGAACTATAAACATCATTTTCTTAAGAGGCTCAAGCCTGCAAGGGATTAAGAACTCTGGTCCTGATCACATAAAACAAGGGTTCACACTACCGTCAAACTTTAAACATGTAAGTAGTCCTGTTGGTTCACCGGGTTTGTGGGCACCTATTTTGGGTTTATGTGGCAAGGTTTTGGTAGAGGCGGGGCTGCAGGGGCAGCTTCTGTGACACCAGGAGCTGCCCCCATGTCAGAGAGAGACAGTAGTTCCAGCTGCCTCCAGGATGGACTTGGTGCTGGCCAAAGCTGAGTCCATCACCGATGCTGGTGGGACCTCTGTGACAACATATTTAAGAAAGGGTAAAAAATGCTGCACAGAAGCTGTAAGAGAGGAGTGAGAAAGTGTGAGAGAAACAGCCCTGCAGTTACCAAGGTCAGTGAAAAAGGAGGGGTAGGAGGTGCTCCAGGTGCCGGAACAGAGATTCCCCTGCAGTCCATGGTGTAAGCCCATGGTGAAGCAGGTTGTTCCCCTGCAGCCGATGGAGGACCACGCTGGAGCAGATATCCACAATGAACTCCATGGAGGGCCCCACGCCAGAGCAGATGGACATGCGCTGAAGGAAGCTGCAGCGCATGACGTGCCCATGCTTGAGCAGGCTCCTGGCAGGAACTGCAGCCTGTAGAGAGGAGCCCACACAGAGCAGGTTTGCTGGCAGGACCAGTGACCACACAGGGGACCCACACTGGAGCAGTCTGTTCCTGAAGGACTGCACCCCATGGAGAGGACCCATGCTGGAGCAGTTCTTCAAGAACTGCAGCCCATGTGAAGGTCCCACATGGGAGAATTTTGTGAAATACTGTCTCCCATTGGAGGGCCCCCATGCTGGAGCAGGGAAACAGTGTGAGGAGGATCTCGCTGTCCTCATCCCGACCCATGAGTTTTTCCATTGCATTTCCTTCCCTTGTTCTGCTGAGGAGAGGGAGTGACAGAGTGGCTTGGTGGGCAGCTGGTGGCCAAAGCACCTTACAGGATGAAGACCAGCCTGCTGCAAGAAAGCAATCAGTGGAGGACAGGAACAACTCTAATGACCACAAAGCCTGGCAAGAAAAGAAGAGCAGCAAGTATCCCGTTCTTCAGTGTTAATGCTTTTCCTTTAATAGAGCGCCTTGAGTCACGTAACTATTCCACAGTTAAATGATGAAGGCCACTGCACCACTGAAGTCAGTATCTGTTGTTTGAGAATTTTTTGGCAGCATGTCTTTAATATGATAGTTAATACCTGAGCAATCTGAGCTGCTCTGCCTCCTTTGGATTTGGTCTGTCTGGCATGTACATATGCAAGACCAGCCTAATTTCCACTTGTCCTCATACCACCTGTGTTATCCCTGACACCAGAACTCCTTAGGAGTCGGCATGCACAGCTTTCATCAGTCAGGTCTGGGGCATACTCCACCTGCTTTAGACTGGTTTTTTTGTAGCTGGTAAAACTAAAAAAGGCACTGGCAACCAGGAACTGGACTTCGAACTTTCACAGTTCTCTCAGACCCCGGAAGTCAAAGACTTAAAGATTTGAGAACTGGATGCTGTTAAAGACATTCAAACGGGATGTGGGCAGTAGGACTGCGGGTAACTCTAGCCCAACGGTGGAGACAGCACAGCTATGCCCATGTAACAGGGATCACTCATCACACATGACTGAGCGAACGGAGTGCTAAAAGTCATGTTACCTGCTTCATTTCCAGCTGACAAACCCACACTGGATGGCTCACTCTCTCGATATGTATCATAGTATGGCACTTATTTGATCAGGCAGAGTGAAATCAGATTTGTTATGTGACAAAAAATGGAGCTGCAGCTCATACTGACAAGTATCTCATCAGTGCTTAAATAAAACTGAATAATTTTATGTTTTCCTGTTTTCCGATTTAGGAGAACTGGGGAAATCTTATCAGCTCTAGCCATTTGTATGTTTCTGTGTTTTTTTAAGCACCGGCTAGATCTACTTTCAGGAACAAGCCTTCATACTGGTTCCTTTGACAAACTGAAATTCTGCTTTGCTGTATCTTTCCAGAATAGAAATATAAAAATGGCAAAAAAATTACTCTTGGTTTACAACCAGGAGACCTTATCAAGAGAAAGACTAAGAACTGTGTAAAAAGGAAAAAAAAAAACCCCAAACCCTTTCCAATAGTTAACAAAAAAAAGGGAGGGGGAGCAAGAGAAATGAATATTGGGTTATACAACACTTTCACCAAATTACAGGATTTTTACAGCTTCTAGTAAATTTAGAGCTTCTTTCTCTGCAATTATATGATTTTCTGAATCTTCAGACAGATTCGATTCATAAGGAAAATAACGTAACCCTATGAAAAAGCAATGTGCAAAGAATTCTGTAAGAATTTCCACTGTAGACTGAAGCTGAATTAGTCACTGATGACTTTATCAATTTAAATAAATGACATTTAATACCAGAGTTTCTTTGACCTTAAGCACAAGGGGGAAGGGAGAAAGCCTGAACATATATTTTGAGAAGGAAATACCTCAGTGTCCCTTTGAAGTGTCACTTTCAATGAACAGACATCCATCATGATCACCAGACTGATAAAGACATGTTGTCACCAAGCCATTGCCCCTACTGGTATGGTTTTTTCCTCTTGAGTTTTTATTGATTGGATTTAGGAAGACAAAAATCAACATCATAATCACCAAAAACCCTGAAAATATTTTTATGTTAAAAAAACACTGAATGAGCTCTTAAACTGATAAGAGAACTCTCCAAATTCATCAGGGATTTTGTCACGAGCTAGAAAAGCAAAAGGCAGTAAAATGCATCCCCAAAACATGGAACTGCAAAAGAGTGTCCCTCCACTTTCCTTCTCCTTGACTCCTCTCCACAATCACTTCCATTTCTTTTATTTGATTGCCACAGTAGGAACAAACAGACAAAACAATATATAGATTTGGGAACTATCCCATTCAAGGATGATGTTGCTGCATTTTGGACCAGCAAATTCTTTTCACTTCTATAAATAACCTTGAACTTACCCAAACCAGTAACTCAAAGTGAAACCTGCAGGTGTATGAGCTATTATTAACAAAAAAGGGGAAAGATTCACCAAAGTCCCCAGAAGAATATAGAGTTTCATACTCAGTCCTCCTCTATACCCACTAAACAGTAACTTTTCTGCCAGGTTTTTCTGTACATAGTACTACTACTAGTAACTCTCAAAATCACTATCAACTACAATAAACCAAAGACAGTACTTTCACAGTAAGTTTCCCACATTATGCATAAGATTTTAAGCAGAGAAAAAAATCAGAATTAAAATAAAAAGAGGAAATTGCGGTTGTCAAGAATAAACATGCTCGGGAGGGGCTTGTGGGAAGGCATACATGTGAAACCTCATTATTTTTAGAGTGACTGATTTTCAAGTTGACGTCTTCTAGACCACTTTTCGCAGTTAACACCAAGCATACCCAAAGAAGGTTAAAGAAAGTGTACCCTCCCTGATTAACAAGAATGGCAAGCTCGTATCAACAGATGAGGAGAAGGCCGAGGTACTCAACAACTTATTTGCTTCAGTCTTCACTGGCAACCTCTCTCCTCACCCCTCCCCAGTTGATGGACTGCAAGATGGGGACCAGAGGGGCAAAGCCCCTCCCAGTGTAAGGGAAGACCAGGTTCAGGACCACCTGAGGAACTTGAACACACGTAAGTCTATGGGACCTGAGAAGATGCATCCTAGAGTCCTGAGGGAATTGGCTGATGTCATTGCCAAGCCACTCTCCATGATATTTGAAAGGTCACGGCAGTCAGGCAAAGTCCCTGGTGACTGGAAGAAGGGAAACATTATGCCCATTTTTAAAAATGGTAGGAAGCAGGACCCTGGGAACTACTGACCTGTCAGCCTCACCTCTGTGCCTGGAAAGATCATGGAGCAAATCCTCCTAGAAGCTGTGCTAAGGCACATGTAGGACAGGGAGGTGATTCAAGACAGCCAGCATGGCTTCACCAAGGGCAAGTCCTGCCTGACCAACCTAGTGGCCTTCTATGATGGCGTGGATAGATCAGTGGACAAGGGAAGAGCTATGGATGTCATCTGTCTGGACTTCTGTAAAGCCTTCGACACAGTCCCTCACAATATCCCTCTCTCTAAATTGGAGAAATATGGATTTGATGGGTGAACTGTTTGGTGGCTAAGGAATTGGTTG